ACAGGATAGAGCAGCATATAACTCCTCCCATCCTAGTTGCATCCTGAATCCTGTTTGGGGGTCCTCTTATGCATGTGGGGGGACAACAGAGTTCTGCATCTAAGTTTCATGTACTTTCTCATCCCTTCAAGCAAACGGTGCCGCAGTCAGGCCTAGAAATATCTTTGCGTGGGAAGAGGCCCACACTTGGAAGTGGGCTCAAGGCCGTTTGGTAAAGAATTATGAGATCCTGGGTGCCCAGAACATGGGGGATGGTAAGGCTTCAGTAGGCACTTCCCTTGGGTAGATAGGTCCTCTGTTCTGAGGCAATGGTAGGTATGGCCAGACAAAAGAACAGGGGTTTCTAGAACATGGGCTTAGGCTGCGTGGGTCTCAAGGTGTTTCGAGATATAGAGCCAAAGATTTATGAGTTCTGGAAAATGTAATCTCCTCAAGCTTTAGGCTGGCAGAGTCAAAAAAGGAATGTGGATTTGGCCCATTCAGTAGACGCTGATCAAATAGTAGTTGTTCTATAGTGACATTAACTTCCTAGTTGACCCTATGTGGCTGACTTCTACTCAAAAAACCTGTTGGTTCAAGCCAGATGGCCAGAGCCAAGGAGGAACAAATTCTTCTAGAATGCTTTAACTGCAGGGCCACATTCAACTCAGAATCAGGTACTCCCCTCACTGTGGGTAGATTTGGTAAGGGTGTGAAAGAGGTTCTTCTTCTGTTCTATGTCTTCTTCCCTATTTATCCCCATCATCTAAAGAGATAGTATCTCCACATGTACTTTATGTGGTGTTTATCAGTTAGGAATACTTTCTGTAAAAATTTCCTGTGTGAATAAGCACAGTCAAAGATCCTACCTGAGAAAGTCTTTAGGCCTTAGGATTTTTGTCTCTTAGCTGCTGGTCTTTATGTTCCATCTACTGCTGTATCCCCACCCACACCCAACCAACCCTTAGTATTCTGGCTTGTGGACTCATGGTTTTAACATGGCTGCCTGAGGACCAGATATTACATCTGAGTTCAAGTCAGGAAGCTGGGAGGGCTGGAATATGAAGCAGCAGTGACAATCTTTTCATTAAAAAGGAAATCAGAAAAGCAAGAACTTTCCCAGAAACTACCTAGCAGACTTCAGCCATAATATGTCACTGGGCTACCCTTAGCTGCAAAGGAAGCCTCTACAGTGGCCTCTAAAATGGGAAAGGGCAAGGGCAAAGGGGCTTGTTAATGGGTTATATGTTGGCTCTCCAAAGTGTCTGCCACAAACTGGGAAAGTCCTAGTAGATGTGAGGGGTTGAGACCCACTGAGCTGAACATCTCACAGTTTGGGGCTTCTCAGAAAAAGACTTGAACCACAAAGGGCATCTGTGGACCCACTTTAATATCACCCAAGTCTTCTTGCTAGAATAAAGGAGCTCTACTAAAGTAAAAGGTTAAGTCCTTAGCCTAAAAAGAAATGGGGCAGGGCAGGCAACAGTTTTTACCTCTTTCAGAAATAAAAACAGAATGCTCAGTTTGAACCAACTTCTCATTACCAGCTTCAGAAGGTGATAGGAAACAAACCTTTAAAGCTCTCTGGCATCTGTGGTGCTCACTGTATTTCTACAGTTTTGGGAGGGTCCATGTGCCCTCTTCAGAAGAAGCTGGGTCATCACAGAATCCTTCACACCCAAGTTTCATGGCTCAAGCTGTTGGTGGCAACTTTAAAGAGGGAAGGGGGTGGGAGGAGAGGAAAGCAGCTAGAGCTCCTGGGGACTACTGAAAGGAAGAGAAGGACTCCTGACAGCTACCATGGGCACCAGTCTGGGCCTAAGAAGTAGCCTGGAGGCTTAATTTTAAAAAGTCACTCACTTGTAAGAGATTCTGTAAAAGCCCAGTTACTGAAGAGCTGAGGTCCTGAGGCCACTGTGAAACTGACCCAGGACTGGTCTGTCCAGAATGAGCATCTAGGACAGGACCCAGTGGGAAGAGTCTGCTGCAGGCAGGGTCAAAAGGCCAGAACAATAAAGCCAGAGAGCCCCTGACCATGCTCAGTGGGTGGCCCCTTTTGGAGCTTGGTTTTCTATAAGTAGCAATTCCTGCTCAGAACCCATGTCACTTCAGGTTAACACTGCCTTACCTTTCCTTTCTCAGAAGGCTCCAGGTAAGGAACACCCTGATCACCTTCACCTCTGATATCAATACAACAAGCTTCCTCATCTTGAAATCATTTGAGGTGGGCTTTCCTTGATGCAAAATGTCCCTTTGTGTTCTTTGCTACAGAGACAGTGTGCTAGTTTACAGAGCATTTTCTATGACAGCCATCCTCTCTGCAAGTTTGAAAATGGGGCCAGACACTCAATCTGACATCTCTCTGGAATTGTCTTCCTTCTGTGTCCACTGTTCACCAGCATGCTGCCATGGTGTTGCTATGGGTTAATTCCAGGCAGGTGGTAAGTAGTAAAGCAGCTCTGCAGGCCGACTTTTTAGGAGCACATTCATTTTGACATATAGTCCACATGTAATATACAACATCAACTATTTCATCAATATAAACAAAATTTTCACATAGAAAATGCTATACTTTAAGAAGACAGCAGTCAAAATTGTGAATGTATTAAATGCCACTAAATTGTTTTCTTCAAGATGGTTACCTTTATGTTATGTGAGTTTTACCACAGTAAAAGATACTGCTACTACTCTTTTTAACTTTATAAAATGCTTTTTCACCATTTTCTTCTTCATTTTCTTTTTACATCCCTGTAGGCTAGAAATACAAAAATAACTAGCTGTTTGTTCCGATAAGGAAACCTAGGTCCTTAGAAGGTGTGACCTGCCAACCAGAGAATGACGAGCAACAAAGAACTCCAGTGTGCTCACTCCTGGGCCGGGGTTCATTCTTCAAAGGTTCCAAATCAAATAACTCAAAAGCATGGCTCCTTGGTGACCTCCGAAGTCACAGGGTAGGCAAGGGCATCATCATTCTATAAGGAAGCAAAATCATCTCTTCCTCTTCACATCCCTCTGAATTTGAGGGAGTTCATTTCTCAAAGGCAGAGGGCAGGAGGGTGGCTAAAGGGATGAGGTCAGTTTGCTAAGCCATTTGTTTAAAGTTTGTTTTTAATTTTTTATTTTTAAGTGTAAATTCAGTGTTTTACAGTATGTTCACAAAGTTGTGCAACTATCATTACCATATCATTTCAGAACATTTTCATCATTCCAAAAAGAAGCTCTGTGCCCATGAGCAGTCACCCTCCACTCCTCTTCAGCCCCTGGTAACTCCTAATCTACCTTCTCTCTCTACAGCTTTGCCTACTCTGGACATTTCATATACATGGAATCATTCATGGTGTGGCCTTTGTGTCTGGCTTCTTTCACTTAGCATGTTGTTTTCAGTGTTCATCCACGTTGAAGCCAGCATCAGCACCTCTTTCCTTTTTACGGCTATCTAAGCCGTTTCTAGCCCCCCAGGGGTTCTTCCCGTTGCTTCTTTCCTGCCAGCTGTGGGGATGTGGTGGGGTCACAGTCAGGACAACAGGAAAGAACCCTCATCCTGGTAGTGCCCAGAGAGAAGAAACAGATCCACCAGCAGCACCACCAACATTCTCCATCTTCTTCAGGTGACAGATCTGACAAGGACTCTTATGTCACATCCACCAGCAAACAGTTTTAACTAGACAGGTTTGTGCAGAGCACATAGTACAGTGCAGCCCTGTACTGTACTATGTACTCTGCACTATGTACTGGGACATTTTCAAAGCAACAACCCCTGCACACTCTCCAGAGGACCACCCAGCCAAACCTTGGCACTTGAACAAAGGCCAGGCCCAGTGTCATCTGGAAGAGTGATGTGTTCAATACCTTCCTTCTACAAACTTTCAGGAGCCTGCTCCTGAATCGTACTATTGACCCTTGAACAATACTGGGCTTCAGGACACTGACCCCCAACCTGTTGAAAATCAATGTATGATTTAATTCAGCCCTTCATTTCCATGCATTCCCAACCAGAGATCAAAAATACCACTTTTGATCTGCGGTTGGTTGAATCTGCAGATGTGAGACCCAGGGATTTGGAGGGCTGTCTGTACATTTATTGAAAAAAAAAAATCCATGTATAAGTGGACCTGCACAGTTCAAGCCTATGTTGTTCCTGAGTCAACTATAAATTCATAGTGCAACCTATGAATTTCCCATCACCTCAGTTGTCTTTTGCTAGATCAAAGTCCTCTAGCTTCTAAAGTATTTCCTGGGGTAGACATCCCCGCCCCGCACCAGGTTTAATCCCAAGACAACTATTAGCTGCACATCCCCCTGACTTCCACATGCATCTCCATGTCAAGTTGACAATTTGACTTCCTGGTGGTCTGAGCAAGCAGTTTACTGAAAGCCTCTCCAATTGGGCATAACACACATTATTCTGATAGCTAGTCTTCAATGTCCCCATCTTCTTCTCCCTTCTAATACAAGGTGAACAAGGAATTATCATTCCCATTTGCAGAAAAAGAAATGGAGAACCAGTAAGGGAAAGAGACCAATATTCATTAGCAAAAGGTAGCAGTACTGATAAGGGGTCCTATCTCCCATCTCACTGTACTGGGTATACCAAATAGATACACAAGAGGATTAATTAACTAAGTACTCCTTCCAGGGAGGAAGTGAAAACAAAATTATAGTCAGTTTTTAATTGTCCATATTCCAAGGCACTTGTTTAAAACCAAGCTGTATGCTCCATGCCACTAGCCCATGTCTTCTCCTGCAATCAGGTAGCACACACCCAGACATGACCTACATTAACAGCAAAACATTTTGGTGTCCCTCCCCATTCCCCACCCCAAGTTCTTCAACACAGACCAAAGTCAACCATAACCAAATAAATATGGCAAATTGGCATATATTCACTTTATATTCACTTTATCTATGTCCAAAACAAACCAGGTCTTCTATCAGATCACCCCAATGAGAAAAAGGCTCCAGAAGCAGTGATGACCTCCTCCCATCTCCCCCCAAGACTCCCACCCAGACACACTTCTTACCCTCCCTTCAAACTTGGCGGTGGCTCCTTCTTTGATGCAGAGGTTCCGAGGGGGTGAAATGAAAGCAGGAGCTTCGGTCAGGGGCATGGAGCCGAATCTTGAGTGATCCATACTGAGGGAGCTTTTAGAAACGTGTGTTGAGGCAGCCAGCTTCACATCCCCCATAGCCTGAAAACAGGAAGGACGGCCAGGTCAGATGAGACAAAGTACAACCCTGTTTCCTCTCAGGCAGCAGCAGGGCCCGTGTACTTGTTGGGCCCAGTGTGGTGAGCTTTACAGAGGGCAGGTGCCCCATTAGGTCAGGGTCCACCGGGAGCTCCTCTGGAAATGAGAGGCTCTGTGTCCTCCACACGCAGGGCTGCCAGGGTGAGGCCCAGCTGGTCTCAGATGCCAGCTCCCAGGGCCGTGCCCCAGCCTCTGCAAAACCCCATGAAGAACTAGGAGAGGGGCAGTTGTGGTAAGAACAGAGAAACCAAATGGTCCTCTGAGTTTTTGCAATGGGTATCTAAAATCAGTATTTATTAGTCATGACCCTTCAGAATCAACATCTACATTAAGCACTTGAGGTAGAAAGTAAAGCTGTTTTTCACCTGACTTGTGAGAACTCATAGGCTAAAGAGAAATGGGATCCATACTCTAATAAAGAAAGTAGTTTGGGATTAATATGACAAAGATCCTGCATGAGGTGGGCATGAGTGGTTGAATGAAGGGAAGGAGGGAAGGCTAGGGAAGACATCTTATGCTGGGGACTAAATTGTGAAAAATTCTCAAAGGTCACAAAACATCAGTGTGTTCTGTGTTTTAAGATTATCTAGGTGAACTCCTTCATTTATAACTGAGGTCCAGAAGGGTAAAAGTCACTTGCCCAAAGAGACAAAGCAAAACAATGGTATCATGGGCCATAATACCTCAGGTTCCCGACTCCTGGTCCAGGGCCTAGTTGGGGTAGACAAGATGTGTATAGACAGGGACTGGCACAGATAGCTAGAATGAAGAAACAGGATTGATTCCAGGAGCGGAATTAGTAACAGGTATGAATCTGAGTTATTGATTGCAAACTACAGAAACTGACCCTGGCTCTCATAAACAGAGAAGGGATCTGTTAGAAAGGTGGAGTTTGGTGGGGAGCTCCCTAAGTTTATAGGAAAAGTAGTAGAACTAGGCTGGGCAAACAGACAACAATCACAGAAGCTGAGTGGTGAGATCCCAGCCAAGGTCACTGGACATCGCAACCACCAGTTAGAATACATCCTAAGTATCCCTGCTCCAGGTTCCAAGTCCACATGGAAGCCTCACCAGGCTGGAATGGCTCCAGGTTGGGGACCATGTCTTATTCTCTACAGAATCCATGGCTCCTTGCCTGTTGCAGGCATATGACAAACATCTGGTAAACTGAAGAGAAACAATGTTCCTAGCTTTTATTTTCTGTTCATTTTCTTGGGATCTTTAGTCACACATTTAAATCCCATGCTGTGAGGTGGATGAGCATGTAATTAGTTTGTTTAAATTTAATAACATCTAACAAAAATAAAATGGAGATAATATTTTGACTTTAAAGTTGAAATAACAAGCTCTGGCTGTTATTTTAGGTCAGTAGGTTGGAACGTTGCCCTGATATGCCAAGGCTACAGGTTCAATCTCCAGTTAGGGAACATACAAGCAGCAACCAATGAATGCATAAGTTGAATAACACAAATTGATGTTTCTTTTTCCCCTTCCCCCTTTCTTGCTCTCTCTAAAAATCTATAAATAAAATTTTTTTTTACAGTTAAAATAACAACCTAGGTTTGATTATTAACAGAGCACATCTCTGCTTGACAAATCCAGCTTTCTCATTCACTAATAAGATTATAGCTTTGCAAACAAACTTCCTTCCAAATGATAAGACTCACAGGTTCACTGCAGTAGGTAATAATGAAAGCAAACCTTATGTAGCACTTACTGTACACCAGGGACTATTCTAAGCACTTTATAAATAATAGCTCATTTGCTCCTCACAACAATACTATGACGCAGATGATTCCATCATCCTCATTTTATGGATCTGAACCCAAGGTGCAGAGAGATTAAGAAATTTGCCTAAGGTCAAATTAGTCGGTGGCAGAACTGGCATTGGAACCCAGGTGTCTGGCATCAGAGCCTCTAGGCTTAACCAGTGGGACCTCTCACCTCTTGTAAGCAGTTAGAGTTGGCTGGTGGGAAGGGGGCATGATGTAGGAGTAACAAGAGAGAAAGTTAAAAGCTGCTACCACATACATAAAAATTAAGATTTTCTGTATGTCAAAACATACTATCGACAACATTAAAAGGTGGATGATGATCAGGAATAAAATGTTTTCAACAAAAACAAAGGACTAGGACACTTCATGTATAAGAGCCTGACAAATAAATGGAAAGAGGCTATGCCTTGGACAGTTCATGGAAGACAGACAAATGACCACTATGAGCAGACACTGCCTAGTCACAATAAGAACCCAAGAGTGTAGGCTCAAATTAAGGACCAGCTAATTATCTTAAAAAAACTAACCAAATTGATATTTAAAAGAGAAGATAAAATGCCAGTGAGACAGTGGTGAGTTGGCTGAAAGGAATATAACCCACCCAGAGGAATATAAATTGGTGTGATCTTTCTGAAAAGCAGTTAGGCAACAAGATTCTGAATTAAGTATCCATCCCTCTCCCCAGTAATCCTACATTTAGAAATGTGTAATTGGGAAATAAGCAGAGATGCAGCCCAAAATTTATATATGAAAGTGCTAATCACATTATTTATAGCAAAAGAAACAATAATAATCTAGTTAAATAGAAATAGAAAAAATACTTAGTTTAATAGATAGCAATGAGAATGGGTTAAACACAGTGGAATATCAAGCAGTTATATGACTGTATACTTATAAGGAAAATAATGATAGAAATTTAATATAGAAATTTTAAACTAAAAATAAGTTTTACTACAGAAAATTTCAAAGATACAGAAAAATAGAAGGATAAAATGAGCACCTCAAATACCCATCTCCTATATTCACCAATTAGTATATTGTCATATTTATTTCATTATGTTTGTAAATGTGTTTGCAGAACCATTTCAGAGTAACTGTGATATAATTGTAATGAGAGGAATCATGATATATTCATTCACTCAATTAAAACATATTTATTGATTCCCAGACAAGAAAAAAGCTAAAGAAGTTCATCACAATGAAACCAGTATTATAAGAAATGATAAAGGAACTTCTTTAAGAAGGAGAAAGAGATAAAAAATATGAATAATAAAATGGCAAAAACTATACACCTATCAATAATGACTTTAAATGTAAATGGATTAAATGCTCCAATCAAAAGACATATAGTGGCTGAATGAAGAAAACAAGACCCATACATGGGCTGCTGCCTACAAAAGACGCACTTCAGATCGAAAGACACACACAGACTGAAAGTAAAGGAATGAAAAAAGATATTTCAGGCAAATGGAAATGGGGAAAAAGAAAGCCAGGGTAGCAATACTTGTATCAGACAAAATAGACTTTAAAGCAAAGTCTATAACAAGAGACAAAGAGGACATTTCCTACACAGTAGCCAAGATATGGAAGCAACCTAAAGTGTCCATTGACAGAGGACTGGATAAAGAAGATATGGTACATATATACAGCAGAGTATTACTTGGCCATGAAAAAGATTGAAATCATACCATTTGCAACAACACAAATGGACCTAGAGGGTATTATGCTAAATGAAATGAGTCAGACACAAAAACACAAATACCACATGATTTCACTTACTTGTGGAATCTTAAGAACAAAATAAACAATGAAAACAGAAATAAACTCATAGTTACAGAGAATAAAACTGATAGTTACCAGACCAGAAGGGTATTGGGGAACTGGGTGAAAAAGGCAAAGGGATTAAGAAGTAGTTAAAAAATAGTCATGGGAATTAAAGTACAGTATAGGGAATATAGTCAATAATATTGTAATAAATATGTATGGTGCCAGGTGGGTACTAGACTTATAGGAGGATCACTGTAAGTTATATAAATGTCTACCCACTATACTATACACCTGAAATAATGTTGAATGTCAACTGTAATTGAAAAATTTTTTAAAATATTAAAGACCTATTTGTTGAACGCCTACCACATGTCATACCAAGTGCCAGGGATATAGAGTGAACAATTACACATGTGTGTGGTGAATGGGGTAACATGGATAGGGAAGGAATGGGGTTCTCATATCTTGCAGAGCTACCTAGGACTATATCCCAGAAGAGACACTACTCCCCTCGTCCTCCTCCACTGCCACCTCCTCCACTAAGGGGAGGTGACAGATATACTCTGTGCTGTCCGCACAGGTGGCTGGGAGTGTGGGGTGGAGGTGGGGATCGGTATCCTGAGGGCCACACCTGACATAAATCCAGGAGCATGGCTAGTTTCTAACTGTGAGCTGGGCACGGTACTTCAACTCTCTTGGCATCAGTTTCCTTTTCCTTAAAATGGGAATGATAATATCAACCTCACAAGGTTCAAGGGAGGATTTCAATATAGTGTATATAAAACACATATTATAGCATAAAAGGGATTCAATAAGTAGGAGCTGTCAACATCATCATCCAGCTCCCAAAGGAAACCCAGATTCCCCAGCTTACAGAACACAGACCCTTTTCACCAAGGAGAGCAAGATGCCCAGGCCAGCCCAATTATTATCTTCAGGCAGCTGAGTGGGATTGCTATACAACAGTAGGAGGACGCAGATGGCAGAGCCCTGTGAAAAGATTGGGAAGAAGGATTGTCGTGTCTGCTCTAGCAGCAACGTTTAATGGGTAGAGTTTATGCCTCTGACATTGTTCTGGGCACCAATCTTAGTCTCCACAGTCCTGCAAAGCATTCTGACTATGCTTTTACAAATGAGGACACAGGGGCTCAGAGAGCCAACCCTACTTGTCCAAGGCCACATAGCTAAGAAGTAGAAACCGAGCCAAAATCTGACAGCAGTCATACCCTAGGCCCCATGACCCAGATGAGGCATTTCCTGATATTTTCAGCAAAGGGAGATGTAATAGGCAGAGGCTATTGCAGAGAGGAAGGGAGCAGGCAATGTGCCTTCCCTTCTGCTCTCAGGCCTAGCTTTGGAAGTCACAAGACTCTTCTGCCTCTGCTCTCAGAGGAGCTG